GGGTGGGTGTGTGTGTGTGTGTGTGTGTGTGTGTGTGTGTGTGTGTGTGTGTGTGTGTGTGTGTGTGTGTGTGTGTAGGTATCTCTCCAATTGTTTACAAATAATGCATTAGTAATAATCTTTATCATTCGGGCATACATTTTTGCCAGTAACGTCAAACAGACGCTCCTGATTATAATTTTTATCAATACCAAACAGATACTTCTGATTTTTATTATTCGAATCATACTATAATATGAAATTTAGAATGGATTTCTTTATTCTCATGAGAATGCAATTGATATTTTTTTTTCTTGTCTTTCTGATTATTTACAAATTATTTATTTATAGTATCCTGTACTGCCAAAACTGACGCTTCTGACATTCGTTTTGCAAATACTGTTAGAACAGATGCTTCTGACTATAATTTTTATCAGTACCGTCCAAATAGACGCTTCTAACATTGACGAAAACACTTTTCACCATTGCACTAATTATAAGAATATAATTATGGATAAAATAGTTATGAAAAGAGCGCTTTCTTCCGAGCGTAACTTCGTGTCACGCTCTGTCTCGATTCTAATTGTTTTGACCATTTGCGGCGGGTTCACGTGTCGAGGCACGCACACAAAAGACGAGACACGTACATGTGCGCTCGACAACGTTGGGTTGGTCGAAGAGAATAGAAATATCATCCTACTCTCTCGCACCGAAGACTAGAGAATAGGAATATCGTTGTACTCTCTCGCGCTCGCGACGCGTATGAGAAGGAAATAGAAATATTATCGTACCTTTTCGCGCAATATGCGCCGTGCGATGATCCAGCGTCTTTTGATTATCGTTCATTACTGCTAACGTAGTATAGCGAAAGAATTAAAAAGAATAAACAGACATTAACAATGCATAAAGAGAAACGAAAATCGTTATATGTAATTGTATATAATTTTATGTATAAAAATTATAATTGTTTAATAAATAAGAATGTCTATGATTATTTTCTCAGTATAAATGTATAATATATGTTTCGAAAATCTTTAAGAAATTCACAGTTTTGAGTAATTACTTACAAATTCGACAAGATATTTATTGAACGATAAATGAAATAATCAAATTGTTATTATTTCTTCTTTCTCTCTCCTGTTTGATATAAGCAAAAATATGCGCAACTTGTTAAATTTATAATTTTTGGACAAAAAACCATCCTGGAACAAAAAAGAATAGTTTCGGAAATGATTCATATTAAAAAACAATCTCATGGCCTAAATAAGCAAAGTGACACGGATCTTTTACCTAATTGTTACTTTCCTATTACTTCTCAATTTACTATCCTCCTTCCACAAACCCCTCCCTCCTAACATTACATCCCCTCCTTATCATGCTACTCAGTTTTTATTTTGTACAAGGTTGGTCTTGATCTTATTCTTACACAGACTTTCAGTGTTTTACCACATTTATCGATTGTTGTATTATATCATATTGTAATTTCCGATTATTCAACTTGCGCCACTGGCTGTCTCCAAGGTACTTTATTTTGCTTGGCTTCGTTCTAGTTATCTTTATTATCACATTCTATTTTAATACGTTATTGCCATCCATGTTCGATTATTTTTGATGTTGGTCAATTTTGATTAGTTTTTTCTCTTTTTTTGATTTTGCTATTTAGGACCAACTTTCGATTTGATCTTCGCACATGAAATTTATTTCGGATAAATTTATTTCTCGAAATCGGCCGCTGCGAGGCATACACACGCAAGACGAGGCACGTACATATGTGCTCGGCGCTCGGCAACATTGGGTTGGCAGAAGAGAACAGAAATCATCCTACTGTCTCGCACCGATGCGCTGTGAGTAAAGAATAGGAATATCGTACTCTTTCGCGTTCTCGACGTGTATGAAAAGGAAATAGAAATATTGTCGTACTCTTTCGTGCTCCCTGCACCGTGCGATCATCGAGCGTCTTCAACGTGTTCACCGCTCGTTATTGTTGATATATATAGTATGAATTAAAAAGAGTAAGCAGATATGAAAATAATGTATGAAAAAATTCAAAAATTGTTATATGCTTTACTTGTCATACTCATAATGACCTGTTATATAATTTGCAATTGCGGAAAAGATGCATGAAATGCAAAAAAATTTTGGAAGAGTTGCGGAATAGTTGCGGAATGGTTGCAAAATAATTGCAGAATTCTTACGAAAGAATTGCGGAAAAAGTGCGATGATATGCGGAGAGATTGTGAAAGAGTTGCGGAATGGTTGCGGAAGAGTTGTGGAATAGCTGTAAAGATATGCGGAAAGATTGCGGAAGTATTGCGGAATGATTGCGGAAGAGTTGTGAAAAGGTTGCGAGAGTTGCAGAATAGTTATAAAAATATGCGAAAAGATTGCGGAAGCGTTGTGGTTGCGGAAAAGTTGCGGAATTGTTGCAGAATGATTGCAGAAGAGTTGCAGAGAGATGCAAAGATATATGAAAAGATTGCGAAAAAATTTCGGAGTGATTGTGGAATGGTTGCAGAAAGATTGCGGAAGAATTGTGGAATGTTGCAGAAATGTTGCGGAAGAGGTGCAAAGATACGCGGAAAGATTGTGAAAAAATTGTAGAAAAATTGCGGAATTGTTGCGGAACGGTGCGAAAGAGTTACGGAAAAGGCGCAAAGATATGCGGATTATGGAAGAGTTGCGGAACGGTTGCGGAAAGATTGCGGAAAAGTTGCGAAAGAGATGTAAAAATATGCACAAGGATTGTGGAAGAGGCGGAATGGTTCCGAAATGTTGCCGAAAGATTGCGGAAAATTTGCGGAAGAGATGCAAAGATAGGCGGAAAGGTTGCGAAAGAGTTACGGAAAGATGAGAGAGTTGTGAAATGGTTACGGAGATGTGCGAAAAATTGCGAAAGAGTTTCGGATTGCGGAGTGCTCGCAAAAATATGGTTACGGAAATGGTTACGGAAAAAATGCAATAATATACGAAAAAATTGTGGAAGAGTTGCGGAATGGTTGCGAAATAGTTGCGAAAAGGTTGCGAGAGTTGCGAAAAAGATGCTATAATAGGTGCTATAATGCGAAAGGATTGTGAAAGAGTTGCGGAATAGCTGTAAAGATATGCGAAAAGAATTGCGAAAGAATTGCGGAATGGTTGCAGAGATGTACAGAAATTATGAGAAAGTTGTGGAATGGTTGCAGAGATATGCGGGCAGATAGCGGAGATATGCGGAAAAATTACGGGAATGGGAAAGGAATGACTGCGGAAGTATGCGGAAAAGTTGCGGAACGGATACGAAGATATCCGAAGACGTGCCGGAAAGAAAGAAAATATAAGAGATGAAATTATATAACATTCATATTTCTACGTAAATTTCTACATTTCGGACTTTCTCTCGATATCATAAAAAATATTATAATTGCATAAAATAAATATAATTGCATAAATATATCGAGAGATACGATCGTGGCTCGTCGCCAAGTGTGAGCGCCAGCGCTTCACGAGCGCGAGACTGGCCGTGTCTCTTTACGTGAACCGAGTTGCTGATCATCAAGATTATCCATGGATCCATCAGATTTCAGTAATGGCTGATCAATTTCTGAAGGCGCAATCGATAACTTAGATTTGAATTAATAAAGTATATATAATAAAAGTGTTTTTAGTTTTCTTCTCTGTGTCGTATGAGCGGAGATATTACGATTCAAAATTCGATACTTAGAAATTTATTATTAAGAAACGTCGTCATTATCATCATTACTATTGTCATTGTCATCGTCGCCCTCCGAGTGGGCTACGATTGCAATTTTCGCCACTACGCAGCGGCGATGAAGTCCTCGGCGCAAGATATGAATGTTATATAATTTCACAGTCATTCCGCAGACTCTCTGCATATTTTTCTCTCCGGATATCTCCGCATTCATTTCGTAATTTTTCCGCATACTTCCGCAATAATTTATTTTCGCAATCTTTCCGCATATCTCTGCAACTATTCTGTAACTTTCTCACAATTTCCGTATATCTCCGCAACCATTCTGCAACTTTTTCATAATCTTCCTGCATATATCTTTGCAGCTTTCCGCAACTCTTCCGTAACT